AGGCGCAGCAGCCAAGTGAATCATGGTTTGTTTGGTCATTTTGAAAGTATCTATGCAAGTGTCCTAAAACGGGAGGTACTCGGGCTAGAATGACACAATAAATCTCAGTCTATGGTCCATTACAGTTCAGACGAAGCATTAAAGGAGTTGGAATGGAGGTGGGTTGCAAAGTAGTCTGCAGATGCAGCAGAAACTGTAAGCAGGCTAATGCTAAAACAGCTTTACCACTTTGAATGTGTATAAGGAGATCAGCTGAGCTACAGGCTGGTGACATGGGCTGGCACTGAGATCAGCTAATCTGCCAACCACTGACTAAGGATATTTAAAATATTTCACCGCACTTTGTCATACCAGACTTTACTCTGGTATGTAAATTTGATTGAACATTTACCACCTCAACATTTTAGAGAAAAAATCCACTTTACTGTGTGACGTTTAGTTACCTTATTTTATTTTGGAGATTATGTATCAGAATTTCAGGAGCAGGACCACGCATCCAAACACGCTCCTTCCGGCTGTCATCTATATAGGTTCCCCTAGTTCTGCAAGCTAATCATTCTCGTTTACGTGCCCCACCCTCCCTCTCTTCTTCTTCTCCATTCTTCAACTTCTTCACTTCTATTTTATAAATGGAGATCTGCCGAGCCCGGGAGCCATCGCCAGTCCTCTTCGAGGCCTTCCCCAAACTCAATTCATGTCAAAGCATTCACTTTTACCTACTAAAACGCTGTCAAACTTAAACGAGGACGTGGGCCCAGCTAGTGAATTAAAAATACAAGTTCATAAACGCAACATGCCATCATCAGAGATTAAAGCAGTGTTTCTAGGCTTTTACTGTTTACTCGTGACCCTGTGTGTAAAAGCAGTTTATAGATTCCTTACAACTGATGACCTTTGTTACTCCACTGTGGGAAACACTGATCTAAAATGCCAAATTCTGTATAACAGAAAATAGTTGAAACTTGCTTTCCCTCAGTCGGCTGCTGTCACAGTGATGTATTAACAGTTTAACGGTGCCTCGGTCTTGGATCCATGGTTTTGAGTTTTTGTGGGATGGTGATTCCTTTTGGATTTGAGAATCACTTGTGTTTGAATTCTGTTCCCTTTTTATAGACATAGTATCGGTACATCTACACAAAACATAGCTTGTATTGTGTAGATTTTTGCCTTGATATCATTTATATCTTCCAGCAGTCTCTTGTGTATCTTGGTTAAACAGTATTTAGTTAGTTGCCTTTCGTGTTCTGTCCCACTCTTGTCTCGCTTCTATGATTTTGTCCTTTAGCATCTCCTCTGTCCAGTTGGTCTGGGTTCTCCCGTTCCCTTCTGTCTTTTTTCCTGTTTTATTTTGTTAGCGGTTGTTCTCTGTGTCCTAGGTTAAGTTTGAACTTTTATCTCATTATGTTAGTTCATGGTATTCCTGGTACCCAGATTCTCTGCTTCTGACCTGCCAAAGTATCAAACTTTTTTTAGCAATATGAGTTACTGACATTAAAGCTGGATGGCTTTCTGTCCAGATCCATGATCTGCCTACAACACGGCCAATCTGTCAAATCTTTCATTGCTCAACTTCTTTTGCTTCTCATTCTTAAAAAGCTGTTAATATCACCCACCGATACTGTTTGGGCTTTAACTGTAAATTCTGCACTTGTTGGATTGTATTGTAACTAAAGGATCTAAACAATCAGCCTACCATGACCCTTTCATCTGTCATCATCTTCTCATTAAAGCCATCATCTGCAAACACTAAACAGTACTACAAACTTACCCTTACACTGTATGTGACTCTGCCGTGTTTAACCAACAGGTCTCCTGTTTCACTTGAGGATAAAACAGAGGATCCACCACTCTATAGGAATCCACGTCCCTTGACATATTCGTTATATTGTGTACAGTGCATGGGGATATATCTCTAAACAGCTCTTCCCTTATTGGACCTCGGCCTTGGGCCCTTTGTTATGATTGGATACTTACAAAAGCCAGCCACCCACACCATGTCTCTCTTTCGTTCTAAAGGTCTGCTCCTGCATATTAAACAGTCTGGACCGCTGCAGCAGTAAAATGCATGAACTCCTTCATCGACATTATCTCCCCAGGAAATACATGCATAAATAAATGAATCCTGCTACCTCCGAGACAGCACACCGTACTCAGCGTGGTTACAGAAGAGGGGTGTGTCTCATAGAAGGGGTTAAAAGGTTGCTGGGAATGTGGGGTTGAGGCTTGTCACTGTGATGAAGACTGATGATGAGGCTGCATTGCTGTAAACGAGTGAGTCAGCCCTCCCTTCAGTCAGACAGACACAGGCTTGCAGGAGGCAGATGGGGGAGGGGAAGGGGGGGGGGGGGGGGGGGGGGGAGGGGGGGGGGGGGGGGGGTGCAAGAGGAGGAGGCAGGACAGAAGGAGGAAGACAGAGAAATGCATGGGAACTGTCCCCGGTGCTGAAATCTGTAACGGCTGCATTGTAACAGCTTCATGTTCAGCTCAGTGCAGGAAGGAGAGGAAGAAAAAAATCCAAAATAGAGGGAGTCTTTTTTAATACCTGACCCACATCTGAAATAACTTGTATCACTAGTTGGAAGGTAACAGGTCAGCGCCACCTGCCTTCCCATGTCAAAAAAAGAGAAAAAGTAAGGCATTTGTTACACCTACACCAAATTTTCAAAATCCATTGCAAGGAGGAGTGTAATATTTGCCCAAACAAAAGCTCAGAGGCTCTTGCAGTTGAGGTTTTCCACACAGATCCTGTCCAAAAGTCATGTCTTTGGCATTCTGATCACAAAGCCAGGGGAGGGATATTCTCTACCGTGTAATTCCTTCTGAGCCAAGTCAAAAAGATTCTCATTAGAGTGCTTTTTATATTCCAAACATCAGTGCCCAGGGACAATTGTATTAGGCTGCCATGCTATTTGTAGACTAATCATCTCCACACACAGACACAGTAAGAACTCAATGGAAAAGAAAAAGTCAAGATCAACAGGAATGGGATATTTCAATGTCCAACATCCACCCACCCTGCATGTTCTTTGCTAACCCTGACAGACACTTCAACTGCACACTGCAGACAGTTGATATAAAAGCATCTCGGGGTCAGGTGTAAGGGAGGTGATACAGCTATGCAAGACACCAGCATGATGGCCAAGCCATGACTTGACACCCAGAGAATAAAAAACACATCACGGTCACCTTGTTTAACTTCACCCAGAGCAGCTGAAATGTGGAACTCGGCTCAACTTGTTACTCTGATTTTGCTTTAGAACACCAAAAGCAAGAGCTGAGCTTAAGCTGGTCGCTGTGCTTTTACTGCATTAGTCACAAACGGTGGCTTCACTGATGGAGCCCCCCCACTTGTGAATACTGTAAATTAAAAATGGTCAACTTGCAGTCGGGCTGTAATTGGCAATTCCCCTCAGATTGACATGCAAAAGATTATGCAACAGGTTTAGTACTTGCAGAAGCCACCCTGGGCTATAAATATCCCCGTTGCAATAGTACAGTATTTTAGATGAGACCATCAGGAGAATGATGTCACAAGTCCGTAAATAAAAGGTCCTTCTTTCTTGGGCACTGCAGAGAGCAGGCGGGTGTGGTGACTGCATTATTAGACGCGCAATCCCAGGCGCGAAAGCTCACATTAGACCACGACGTGGACATTCCCGTCACGGCTTTCTACCATCGCTATGACTACCTGCTACTTATCGTACGTGTCTTGAAGTTCAAATCATTCATCTGCAGCCGGGAAATTTGAGCAAAATAATAATAATAATAAAAATGCCGATCTAGCGTTTATTCTGACAGTCACAAGGTGCCCACTGACGGTGCGCCTGCCCGAGCCTCGCGTTTGATAGAGAATACATGTGCAATGACAATCGGACATCTGCTCTCCATCTGACAACAGCTCAGTGTTCTCCACAGACACCCC